CTGGAATGGGTTGGCCACCACTGTGCTAGACAATACTGACCTCCTGCGGTTTGGCAAATTCTCTGGTTTGGCACCAGTCTGGCCCTGAGAGTGCCAGACTAAAGAGGTTCAACCTGGACAATGCAACTTGATGATTTTCCTGTTTATTATTTGTATACCTGATTCGAGGGTGGAGGGGGACAGTTGAAAGACGTAGTGCATTGTGATTCATAGGTTCCCGGTACATTGAGCTTTTCAGGTAGGCAGAAAGTGAGTAGAAAAGACTGCTTACTGCCTGTTCCTCTCCTACTTTGGCTTTGCCTTAGAGTGGGGATACTCAACTTTGGAAGCCCCAAGAGCCACAGTGATGCAGCACATGCTGAGGGCTGCAACGTAAGTGTTGTTGCCTATATCTATCTATCTATATATAGCTTTTCGCACAATGCCCCGGCACTCCCCACACCTCCTCCCTGGGGCTAGAAACACTAACACCCTGTTACCCGTCAGTTCCAGCCAGCCCGTCCTCTTGTATCTTTCAAATGCTCACCCCTCCTGGGAAATGCCTCGCTGTTGTGGAGCATGTTCCCAGTGGAGGCCATGTTCAATGGATCCCACCTGCGGGCCGTGGATTGAGCCCCATGTAAACCCAAACTGCACTGTGGGCCATAAACGGGCGGTATGCAACCCAGGGGCGGCATGTCGAGTAGTCCTGCCCTAGAGGGATGGGAACTGTCACTATCTGCACTGAGTCCATGGTCAACACCCTTTCTACACTGGTTGTCATGCAGTGCTTTGGGCAGTAACTTTCAGATATTTCTCTGTCTCATAGATAGGCAAGCCTGAACAACAAGTTCAGCAGCATATGAAGACTGTGCCTATTTATGCGCTAGAGAGTTACTGCTCAAAGCATTCCATTAGAACCAGTTTCGTAAGGGTGTCAGTCCTTCAGGAGCACTTTAACTGCATTGACCTTTAAATCCTCTTCACTCTTTGGTCAGTGTATCTGGGCAGCAAGAACAAGGTGGGAGAACAATCAGTTTTCCTTTGTCTCAGTCAGATCACTTTGGCCCGATGTATTTGCCTTGTAAGGAGAACTTGCATCCCACCATAATAGCCTCCTTAATATTTCTCTCAACCTCTACTCCCAGGCATTGTTTCCTTCAAGCCATGGATCAAACTAGCTATTAAGGTCCTCTTGCAGTCAGACTGAATGGTTCTCTCTTCTGCCAGGGCCATCAGTAGTAATGCACTAGGAAACCTCGAAGCCAGCACTGAATAGAAATTAACTGATACTTTCAAGCATTTCAACCTTGTGTAGCTCTAATAAGGTATTGTAGTGACTTGGAAGAAAGCTACTCAAATGGCCACTCTCTTGCAGCAGCTGCTTTCACCTGGACTTTGCTGGAGGAGGTAAATCAGAGCTGTCTACATCCTGGGAAGCAGGGTTTGTGGTTTTACTTTCACATGAATTCTCTGTGGCGTAGTGGGGGGCTGTCTGCTCTGTAACCCTGGGGTCTCCCTGTGCTGTGATATGTGATTCCCACTGACTCACCCACATGTGTGTTAACCCAGGCACCTAGGCTCAGCTTGAGGAGATAACGGGATTCCCAGGGGGAGAGAGACAGGGAGAGAGGCGGAGACCAACACCAGGTTTCGGGGGAAGGCAGTTGCTGGCTGCAAAACATGAAGGAAGCAGCCTTAGCTGAGGGTCTTGTGATGATAATGGACCTCCTAATCCAAGGGGTGTGAGGCCTCCTGGTCCTGCCTCCTGAAACAGCATCCCGTCTATGCTGGGCTGTATCCTGGAGGCGCAATAAACCCTTTCTATACGGCTGGTTGGCAGAGTCTCATCTTGCTGCAGACGGGGTGCAGGATCAGGGGGTACTTGATGTGCCACTACATTCTTTTACTGTCAGATCACTGCTGATTTGCACTCCATCACTGCTCCGGCTCGAGCAGGAACGCCTTGAATCAACTGTGCAAGGCTCTTCAAGCTCTAGGACAGGGGTGTCCAAACTTTTTTCAAAGGGGGCCAGATTTGAAGAAGTGAACATGCGTGAGGGCCGTCCCCCAGGGTGGGAGGAGCATGGGGATTTAAAGGCGTAGTGACTCGTTTTTTGTGTGCAAGGTTTTTTTTTTTTCTTTTTTTTGCTCGACCAATTTTCCCCGCCACCATGTTAAGTATTTTTTGTGAAACTATCTGGCAACCCTACTAGGAGAGACGGGGAGGAACAGGGTTGGAGCACGAATCAGCGGATTTGTGACACTCCAAAAGTGCTGAGGGCAAGGAGTAGAAGTGCAGGGCCCTAGTGTGCAAGAGGCCCATAGAGGAAGGGGGCAGAGAGGGGGTGCGCAGCTCACAGGCTGACCACCACTAGTCCTGGCGCTCACTGAGGTGGAGGGCTGTTCGTGCAGCCCACTCACTGTTCTTGGTTGCCCTTCACTGGCTTACAACTTGATGTGCCACTACATTCTTTTACTGTCAGATCACTGCTGATTTGCACTCCATCACTGCTCCGGCTCGAGCAGGAACGCCTTGAATCAACTGTGCAAGGCTCTTCAAGCTCTAGGACAGGGGTGTCCAAACTTTTTTCAAAGGGGGCCAGATTTGAAGAAGTGAACATGCGTGAGGGCCGTCCCCGCACTCTCAGCCCCAAGGCGGAGGGCCCACGGGGTCGGAGGCGGGTGGAGAGCGCAGGGCACGCCGGCCTCACGGCGGCACGGGGACAGGGCGAACCTGCAGCCGAGCAGGGGAGCGGGGCTGCGGACGTGCCCTACAGGGCGGGCTCTAGGACCGCGGAGGCCATGGGCGGCGGGGGCGAATTTGTGACACTCCAAAAGTGCTGAGGGCAAGGAGTAGAAGTGCAGGGCCCTAGTGTGCAAGAGGCCCATAGAGGAAGGGGGCAGAGAGGGGGTGCGCAGCTCACAGGCTGACCACCACTAGTCCTGGCGCTCACTGAGGTGGAGGGCTGTTCGTGCAGCCCACTCACTGTTCTTGGTTGCCCTTCACTGGCTTACAGCATGAGCCAGGTCATGGCTTTTGGGTTCTCTGCCTGGGACCTGAGTCAGGCCCTTTGTGTGTTCCCTGTCTCCCATTCTGCTAATGCCCGGACTCAAGCACAGTTCAGTTGCTCCCTAAGGTGTGGCAGCTGTAAATGCAAAGCGAGCGTGCCATCTGCTGGTCGACCCTCCATGTAGCAGACAGCCAACCCATGCCCTCTCAAGATGGGAATAGTGTCTAGACTGTTGAAATTAGAGAAGTATCCGGGGGGGAGGGGTTGCGGGAATTGCTAAAGGATTAACAGGGTACAGGAGCTGCCCTAGATGAACTGCTGGCAACTGGCGCTCTAGGCGAACCACACGATTACCTCCAAAGCCCTCAACGGCCATTTATCTTGGTGTCCTAGGCGATGGCCTAGTTTGCCTGTATTGACGGGTGCCACGGAAGGGGTAATTAAATGTCAACTACTTGTAAGAGGCGGTATGAGCTTTCATGGGCACAGCCGCTCATGATACCATCTCCATGTGTTGGAGCTCCAGGGGGTAGCCGAGTTAGTCTGTTACAGGAAAACGACAACCAATAGTCCGGTAGCACTTTATAGACTAACAAAACATGCAGATGGTGTCATGAGCTTGCGTGGGCACCGCCCGCTTCTTCAGATGACCCGAGTTAGTCTGTTACGGAAAAAAACAACACACGGTCGGGTAGCGCTTTATAGAGTAACATGGTCTGTGCGTCTATAAAGCGCTCCCAGCCCCACTGCTGTTTTCTGTGCAGCTCACTGGGCTACCCCCTGCGGCTACCTCTAAGAGGTTTGCCTTCCAGGAGCCAGAAGCTGCAGGGGACCGTGGGTCACAAAGGAAAAGCTGGGATGGGGGGAAATCAGGGGAAAGGTATTTTTAAAGTCCCTTCCCCCTCTCTGCCCATCCCTGGGCTAG